AATTTACATGCGGGAAGATGAAGCGGGAAGATGAACGTAATAGAGTATAAAATGTTTGAGCTTAGGATGTTCGTGGTTCATTCCGACTCCGTTGAACCCAAGGTACTACATGTACATTGTCACTGCTATGCTGCAATAAACATCTTCATCGAGATCTTCATCGTCCTCATCATTTTTCTTACACTACTGTTACTCATGTTGCTTAAAACTGGCAAATCTTGTATAACATGAATGACTTCTAGTTGCTACAAATCACTGACAGTCAATGTCCTTTAATATTATGTCAAAGCCATTTCACTGGGCTATTTTCACCTTTAATGGACACGACAGGAAAATGAGAGAATCAAAACAATTAAGAGGGGAATAGGGCCAGGAAAAGTCCTTGATTGGGACTCAAACTCGAACTCCGGTTGTCAGTGCACTACCCACAAGACAATAGGTTCTGACGACCTTTCATGTTTTTAACAGCAATGTGCTACAGTTGCAAACAGAGCTCATGTGTGTTTGTGTGTGTGCACGTATTGCACTGTGGGTTTCTAACCTGCATAGTAACAAGAGAGTGGTAGATTCCTTTTCTCTCCATCAGTTCGTCATGTGTGCCCAGTTCTACAATTTCACCATTCTGGAATCCAGCAATGACATCAGCATTTCGAATAGTAGACAGCCGGTGAGCCACTATAATGGTAGTTCTGCCCAGCCTGACCTATACAGATGTATAAAAAAAAAAAAAAAAAATATATATATATATATATATATACACACACACACACAAATACACACAATATTTCCAGTGTTTTTCCAGACCGCAATTTTTTGTTACCTTATCTAATGCTGCTTGCACAATAGTCTCACTCTCTGCATCCAGAGCAGACGTAGCCTCATCAAGAAGTAGGATTTTTGGGTTGCGCACAAGCGCTCTTGCAATAGCAATACGCTGCTTTTGTCCACCACTCATCTGGGTGCCCCTCTCTCCAACTAGAGTCTCAAATTTCTGAAAATTACCAGAGATATTGGTCAGAGCCTACCTGATCAATTTTACTTTTAAGGTAACTTGATCAAAAAGATTATGTAAAATGATGTACATCTGGGAGCTTCATGATGAAGTCGTAGGCATTGGCTTCACGTGTGGCCTGCTCGATCTCCTCCTGGGTGACATCTTGGCGGCCATAGCGGATGTTTTCTGAGATAGTTGTGGCAAACAGCACCGGCTCCTGGCTGACTACACCAATCAGTTCTCTCAGACCTCGCACGTTCAGAGAGCGAATATCATGGCCATCTATAGTCACCTGAGGGGTTAGAGGAAAAGAAAATTGAAAGTTGGGATAAAGAACAGGAAGGTCAAGGAGATTGTATCTCTCAGCCTCTCTTTGTACTTACCGTTCCTTCCACTGGGTCATAGAAGCGTTGTAGGAGCTGGATTGTTGTGCTTTTTCCACACCCACTGCTCCCCACCAAAGCAATGGTCTGTCCACTTATAACTTTAAGATTCATGCCATTCAGAACCTACAAGCCAAAACAGAGCCATAGCTGGAGTCATTTCATTCTGTAAAGTTATTTGGTTCAAATGGTTTTTAATTAATCTTTTGATGGTCCTACTTTCACATCCTGTCGTGAGGGGTATGTGAAGTGAATGTTTTTGAACTCTATGTTTCCTTTTACAACATCAAGTTTGTAGCCTTCCTCAGAGAAACTGTTGATTTTGGGTTCCTGTTGGTGAAAAAAAGGATTATGAGAGAAATGTATTATTTTAAATACAAATTCCATTCCAGTAAGGGACAGACGTAAGTTCATAATCAAACCTCATTCAGACTAATAGACGTCAATATCACACTAATTGCTCTACACCAGAGAAAAATGGTTCCCTGTGGTCTTCTATTCATTGGATCTCAGTAGGGAAGCACCTCTGATCCTGAGTCCAGGCCATTTTTCATGGTGCTAAAACAATGAGGGGGAAGTTATGCAACTTGGCTCTGGATTATTTTTGCGCATTTTTTTGTCCCTGGATTTTATCTCAAAGCCGCTGTCTGCTCACTGTGTGTGTGATGTTTGTTTAAACTTGAACATCTAAATAAAGGCCAAGTTTAGTCCTGTGTGTGTGTGTTTTAATTGTTCAGGCTTGCCCTTCTTGGAACACCGAACAGAAGTTACAAATCAAACAGTTTTGCTGTCTGCTATGTTTAAATGTTCAAAAAATTTAAGCAATATGAGCTGCACTTTCTGAAGGAGGAAGGAGATATAGATTTATTGAATTTTTGCATGTGTATGATTGGCTAAATGAGCTGTACTGTACAGTACAGCTGAAAGGATGTAAAAATAACAAAATATATCTGGAGTTATAATTTAACAAAGTCAGAAAACAATGCAATATTTTTCAAAAGTCAGGTTTCCCAGCCTTATTTGATTAATGGATTTCCTTGACTTCTCCATGACTTTTCCAGTCATTCATGTATTTTTAAAATCATTTCAAAAAGAGTGCAGCATTCACAAAATAAAAATAAAAGTTACGTTTTTATATTGTAATAATATTTCATAACATTTAAGTTTTTACTGTATTTTTGATCAAATTACTGCAACCTTGGTGAGCATTAAGAGACCACTTTAAAAAAAAAAGTCTTAGTGACCCCAGACCTTCGAATGGTAGCATATGTATAAAAGTGGTAAAGTATTAGGCTTCAGATTTCAATGTTGCTCAATAGTAGATTCAGTTTTTTGAGTCTCCATGCAGAGCATAGCCAAAGACAAAGACATATACAATCATTATAAATTTCCATGACTTTACTGGTCCTGGAAATCACAATTCTCTTAATATTTACAGTTTTTTCATGACCACGGGGACATGATTACACTCATACCATCTTTTTAACCCTGTCAATCCCATTTTTGAACATAGACGTGAAAGTGCACTATCCAAATTTGAATTGATGTACCATTTCCACAGTAATGCAATGTCCGATTTTAAAATGGTTTTCACAGGATGAATTTCGATGTTTTAAGCTTTCAATTGATATATAATTTATGATGATTTCTAAAGCGTGATAGGAAAAAAGGCAATGAAAAAATACTTTTTGTGACAAAGGTCAGAACTCCTGTTATGATGTAGATTTTTGAGGTGCACTCTTGTCATAAATTAATCTATTAGTGTTCCTATATAATTTGTAACAAAAAAATAGTGGTAAAATATCTATTTAGAAGTCTTAGACATTTCCAACGATATATAGTTTGTCATGGTTAGATTAGGAATTATTTGTAATATAGTGAAGTAAACTTAGGTGTCCCTCTGAGGGGATGGGTAACAGTTAAGAGGTTAACTAGTTATATTTTTGGCTTGCAGCCTTTTAAAAGACATGCATATATTGTGTTGTGACAATTATTGTAGGAAAACTCCATCTGAATCTGAATAAAAGATACGATACCAAAAAAAAAATATATCACAGTGCTATTTTTAGAAAAGGGGAAGTGTTTAGTTAGTTTAGATGGGACGAATGGTCAGTCAGATTTTACGGTTTTAAGGCATTTTTTACTTTTTAATTGAGGGAATAAAATACTAATATCCTGTCTAGCATCCAGGTAGCAATTACATTATGGATCTTTTTTTTCTTCCAACAATTATGTAACATAATATCCTGAAAGCATTAATGATTAGCTAACAATGAGTTCACTCACATGATCAATGATTTGGAAAACTTTGTGGGCGGCCCCTCTTGCACTAGAGAAAGACTGGATGTTAGGAGACGTTTGACCTATGCCGAAAGCTCCAATTAAGACTGAAAAGAAAACCTGAAATAGAGGAACAGAAAATGCACTTGTGAGGCAATCTCATGCTTATTTATCAGTCTGCTTTAAGTTCCCATGAAGAAAACATGACCACTTGCTATATATGATGTAATCATTTGGGGGGGGGTTCAAATACTACAATATTTAAAGCATGACCAATGTGATTCTGGGTTTCAGAAGACCAGAGTTTTGTGAAGTTTTGTAATAACGCTGCTGTGACTCACAGTTAAAAGTATGCCGACATCATATTCTTCAGCCAGGATAAGAGTGCTACCATACCAAAAGGCCAGTGCATAGGACATATAGATCATGAAGAATGTGAAGCCCATAGCAATGTTCACAGTGATGGCCTTCCTTATGCCAACGTTCTTGGCATCCTCTAAGTTTTTGTGATACCTTTGAAAAACAGAAAAAAATTCATTTATTATCCTTGATGCAAAAAATATGACGATCAAACTGATTCCACACCCTCTTCCCCAAGTTTCTCCTATTCACATTATGGGACAGCAAATAGACAGAAACTTTCAAGACCAGACCATAATGTTCTAAAACCGAGTTGTCTCCTTCGTAGTTGTCTAGTCTTTATGGTTCTAAGATGATTTGGCAAGTGAACTGGCAAGGTCAGGTGGTTTATCACTCTGTCATGTACCACAAAACGTGTATGATCATCTGACTTCCGCTAAGAAACAGTGCTGACGTTCTCTGAGAAACAGGACGACTTTCAAACACACCTCAGTATCTCTTTCTTCTGTCCACCAAAGGCAAAGACCGTTCTGATGGATGACAGCACTTCCTCAGCCACTGCTCCAGCCTTGGCGTAGGCCGTCTGTTCTCTCGATGTGAATGATGTCATCACCTAATGAGGTAGGGATACAATGTTGCTTTTTCACTGCATCAAAATAACTTTGGGCTGTTTTTAGTCCAATAACTGTTTTTGAAAGAAATCTCCTATGCTCACCAAGACTGCATTTATTTAATCAAAAATACAGAAAAAAAATCAATTTAACAATTTTTATTTTACAAAGATGGCAAAGCTGAATTTTCAGCAGCAATTAGTGTCACATGATCCTACAGTAATCATTGTAATAAGTATTATCAATGTTGAAAACAGTCCTGCTGCCTAATATTTTTGTGGAAACTGTGATATTTTTTTCAGGATTTCTTTGATGAATAGAACGTTCCAAAGAACAGCATTTATTTAAAATAGAAATATTTTATGATATTATAAATGTCTTTACTGTCCCTTCTGATCAATTTAATGCATCCTTGCAGAATACTTTTTTTTTTTTTTAATCTTACTGATGCCAAACTTACAGCTATAATATCTCTGTATGTGTCCTTGTTGACCATTTACGTTATATTATTCTATTTTACAGTTAGGTAGAAATGTGTACAGTAATAAAACCACAATAATAAACTAAAACAGGGCTGTTGAGGGGCACTATGCGAGTCAGGAGCTTACTATAGATGTAAAAACATTAAAACGCTCTCTCTTCATATTCCTTTTTATCCCACCTTTGCGATGATAGCAGCTGAGATCCCGAGTAAAGGACTAACAGCGAGAATGACGAGGGTCAGCTTCCAGCCTTTGACAAAACCAATGATGATACCAGTTAGAAAGGTGGTCAGATTCTGAAGCAGCATGCCAAGCTTATCCCCAATGCCTTCATTTATTTTGTAGACATCACTGCAGAGACAAAAAAAAAAAAAAGAGTGTGATGTAGGTGTGTGTCACTGTGTGCATAACATATAGATAAATGACTCTTATTGCATGTCATACTCTGTGAGGCGTGTGTTGAGCTGTCCTGTCTCATTGACATCAAACCAGCCGATCTCCTGTTTCATGATGGAGTGAAAGAATCTCTTTCTAAGTTTCTTCACCTGACGTCCTGCGGCAAGAGTCCAAAAGGCCACCTGCATATATGCCGCAAACAAAACTACAAATCCCATGATGCTGTAGTATATAGCATGCCTGAGAAAGAGAAACAAGACTATCATACACTAAGAAAGATTTTTTAATTACATTAAAACGTGAAAGAAAATGGCAGTGTTCCAATGCAAAGCACAGTGGTCTTACCTTGTCATCTGCTCTCCTAAAGACTCATTACTGGGCTGTGGGAAGGTGAAGTCTAGAGATGAAAAGACCATATGTTATTGTTAGTTTTGAGAAAACCTCACAGATTTCCCTGTGAAACAATAGTAGATTAATGAGGGATACTAATTATACACTCACTGGGTGGAAGGGTGATGTTCTTTAGATTCTCTGCAATTGTATCATCCACAAAGCTGTTTGTCATGTCTCCAAATACAATAACCATGAGAGGAAGTACTGTCCCATTAGCTATGGACATGACTGTGCCAAGCAGCATCAGAAAAATGTCGACACCATCTGCATAGCGGAACTGACACACGGACACACTTCTTTGAGAATAAGTTAGTCTTAAAGCATTTTTTATATCTATTTTTACTGATATTGATATTTTTATTGACTCTTAAAAATGAAATAAACAGCAGTGTGATCAAGCTCAGAAAGACAATACCATGATGTGAGCATTTAAGGATACATAATAAAACCTGCAATCAATGCCAAGATTGTTCAAGGGATTTAGTCTTAAAGCATTTTAGCGAAAATAATCCATGAAATCTCAATCAACAAAATTACTTCTTCACCACATCCATTTTTTATTTAGGGTTATTTTAATCCATTGGTTACAGCATTGCTGGAGAATTAAAAAAATATTTAAAATAAAAAGTTTTTTCATTTAAAATGTTTTAGTACATACAACTTCATGGCAGTGAAGTTATTATTAATTTCACAAATCATAAATGATAACAGTACTACAAATACTAATAATATATTTAATATTTCACTCACTATTTCAAATGTTCCCACCATCTCCACCTTTTCATTCTCCTCTTCCTTGCCATTTTTCTCACTGCTGGAAAAAAAATTCACAATTCATTTTGAAAAATGAAAAAGTAAACAAACAAAAAATTCAATAAATAGGCAAATAAATAGATAATCTAAAATAATAATTTTAAAAAAATTAAATATGTTTAATCATTTACAGTTACATCGTTATCCTTGTTGACTATAAAATAAAAGATCTAAATATTTCGTGACATGAATATATTATCCCAGGACATGAACCATAAACCATAATTACAGACCAAACAAATGTATTTGTAAGAACAAATAGCTCTTAAAACATCAATGTAACCTGGCTTGCTTTATAAAAGTAAAGTCATTTACCTTACATCTCCATTCTCCCCTTTTTTGCCATTTGATAAATTCAGTTTGTCCTTCTTGCCCATGTTTGCGGTTTATCTTCGATGCCGATAGTCTGATAGTAGGTGTTAATCTGGAGTTAATGGTCTTGGTGGGGAAGGTGGTTTTGTGCTGTGTTATATAAGAATACAATATAACACACTGTACAATCACAGGCACCAAAAACCGTGTGACATTTTGAGTTTACAGAATAAATACTGATCTAACCTGCTAGCATACACAGAGTATTCCGTCCTAAACAATATCTACCACGTTAACATGTCGCTTAAATTATAACTTCAAGGTGCTTCAAGGTGTTCAGAGTACTAAAATGATAAAATTCGTCGGTTCCACATTGAAATATGTGCGCTTTTAATAAACGTTCAAAGTCGGAGAGTGTTGACGAACCTCGCATTTTGGAGCGAATCCTGTAGCTTTAAATACTGCCGCAATCAATAACGTTTACCGACCCGACCCTTAAAGACGAGGCATCAGAATTTCCGTTCAAAAACCATTGTTAAAATCATACATTAATTTGGAATCTCATTCACATAGTAAACGTTATTCACAGGGGAAGCTTTTAAAGTGAGTCATTTCGTTGAATATTTTCTATGACAGTGGCGACACCACAGGTAAAATATAGTTTAAAATCACTAAAGTGACTATTGTTTTGTCCGAAAATGACAGCTAAATTTGTGGATATGAGGAGTTTATTGAAAGATACATACTGCTCAGATGCTGTCGTCCCGCCCTGCTGTCCAAGCACACAGTGACTGCTGCGCCGCGAGAGCGCAGAGGATCTTCTGCCAGAGCGCGATCATACAACCTTGACTTTACTGCTGCTTACATCATTTACAACGTCCATGTCTCATGGATGCCCTCCCATAACCTGCTTTTGGCCACTGTAATGATTGAAAGGCTTTTAAGATGGATGTCTGAGATTATGTTGACCCAATTTGGAGATGGCACATTCCACCAATACGGTGCACTTATTTTTATTCTTCTTGAATATTAGAAGCACATTTGTTGTTGTGAGATATATTTGTTTTATAAACTATTATAAAAAATGAACCTAGCTAGTTTTAAACACGTCTGTACTGTAACCACCCCTCCTCAAATGGGGATTTTGGCCTGTCCTAAATCAGAGGTCTGGATCTTCTCATCATGCAATGACAATTAAAAATCCTAATGTCATTACTTTCACATGATCTAACTAATATCTAATGCATTATATTATCTATTTAAAAATGTAATCACATTTTAAATCACCAAAAATGAACATATTTAAATATAGCCTCCAAAAACCTTGTTACAGTGCCACATTATTTTACACATCACACATGTAATTTAATTTTATTTATGAAGTTATTTACTTTGTTCTAAAATTGAGTAAGTTAATAATTCAATTAATTTCACCTTCCTTCACTAAACATCTGTTGAGCAAGAAGTTGTTTTATTTTGTTTATTTTTTACTTAAAAATGTCTGTTTTAAATGTCTTATAAGAATAGTGGATTTAGAAGGATGACTTTCTAGACTGGTCATGGGTTCATGGTTAAGTCACTCAAGTCACTGAAATCAGGAAACAGACTAAAACCTGTTTTATGTGGTTAGAGAAACCTGACTGAAAAAGTCTGAGTAGCCATTTCAAATTCCCCTCTTAGTCAGAGATGAGAAACTGGGTCTGGTTAGCTCAGAATGTAACATCCTATAGATAATAGACTGCTAACAAATGTATATATTTTTTTCAGTGCAAGACAAAAAGCACAGAATGTATTCTGTTAGCACTTTTCTGATCACTTATACAGGGTTTCTGCAGGTTTTTTGAAGGGAAATGGAAGACTTCTTTAAATAGCTTTTTAAGACTATTAATAAATTAAAGCGAACACAACTTGTCAATATGTTCTCTAAATGTCTAGGAAGCACACAATGAGTTGTATTAGCAACACTTAAAGGTTTAAAAATACAACTTCCAAAAGATCTTTATTTCTGTTTTGGAAATAACTTTAGTCTTGTTTTCTGAGAAATTGATCATGAATTTATGATTAAAGCAAGAACAAATATCTGTCATACAAAATAGCTCAATTCAAAGGAAAAACATGTTTTCGTACCCCAGTGACAAATATTTGTTCTTGTTTCAAACATAACATCACTTGATTTTGTTAAATTTCTCAAAAAACAAGATTTCATATCTTCATGATCTCAAGTAACTGATATTTTAAATGGAAAAGACAAAAATGCTGAGAAAAAAAATATTAGGTTTACAACATTTTAAGTCCTGACTCTAAGAATTTAAGATGTTTAAATGTTAAATCTGAGCTGTTTGAATTTTTAAGGCCTTAATTTTTGGAAGTTATAGTTTATGCAAGTTGTAGGTATGAACACAGTGTCAAATTTTCTGGTTACATAAAATGCAATAAAAGTCAATAGTGACAAAGGTGACATTACACAGCAGCATATCTCATTATGAAGCTTGTCCATAACGAGACTGCTGTTTTTCACCATTTAAGGTTGTCACAATGCGTAATGGAACTTGTACCTGATGACATATTGATATGGGATTTTAGCATATACAGTATTATTCTGAAATGATAGATTTTACTCTATTTAATGTCTGTTATTCTGCCTATACCTGCTTCCTCTTATTTCATATTTTTAATACAGTGACCTTAAACACACTGAGGAGCATCAATCTATTATCATCACAATCATTAACTTTATATGGCCCACTCACCACCATAAAAGGATGTGATGTCACATCCCTCTGATTTTACGTCTTAATGTTGCTTGTTAGCAAATGTTTATATGCTCGTAACTTGTATGATAAAGCTAGATAAATAAAATATGAATCTGGAAAAATAAGACAATTAAAACTGCATGCATGAATCAACTGTAAAAATAAATCCCGTGTTTATTGCATTAAAAATACTGCATATGTCAAAAATACACTTAAATATACCTTCCTCAGTCTTTTGATCGAAAAGGCGATCTTCCAATCAGCCAGCTTTTCCCCTGCAGCAGCATTTACAATCACAATATGAATTGTCTTGATACCGATATAAGACATTACTTTACAGTAAAGACTTTACAGAGAATGTGTGTTTGTGTCCAGTGCTAATGTCTGTACTGAGCCCAGCTGATGTTCAATGGAATGTAAAACACCGGACAGAATTTACAGTTCTAGAAACAAAGAGTTCGAAAATTCAATTTTGGTGCGACTGTATTAGAACAATCATTGATGAAATGTTGTGTGGCAAAGTATTTAGGCACCAAAGAGATTCTGTAGGTAAAGATCAGATTAGGCAAACTGAGCATGCATACAGCATCTCAGAGAAAGAAATCAGGACTCCTTCCTTCCTCAAGGCATCATCTCATCATATCCTATTTCCATGCGTTGAACTGAGCATCTGAATCACAAAAGGAATGTACATCCACTTCATGTCAACTTTGAAAAGTGTGTATTTTTTGTCAAGTTCCTCAGAATTATAACATTCTTTCATCTTCATTGGAGTCTGTAACTTCTCAGATAGCCCAGAGTTGTAAGTTGAAGTTCTGACCCAGCTGCAGAGCAACAGAGGTCTGTACAGGTGTTAATGTCCACCCTGCAGAATCAAATCCTCACTCATGGTCAGTGCAAATAGAATTGTGCAAGTCAACATCACATAGTGTCCCACAGTGGGTCCAAATGGCAAAAAATATTTTTCTTTATCACTGGTTTTTGTCTTGTTTCCCAGTAAAAATAAGAAGCCATAAAAGTCCTTGAAATACATTTACATGAGAAGGAAAACTGCATATCTCACCCTATTTCTTACCCTATTATATAATTATACTGTATATATATATATATATATAAATATATAGGGTATACAGTATTATACCCTATATATTCATAATATATTCTCTAAAAATAAGTCTTAATATGTTATGCAATTTTTCTTCTCAAATTTATCTTGTTTTAATGACACAATTATTTTTTTACCATTAAACAAGACAAAAAAAAAAGCGTAGTCCATAAATTTGCGGCTGGGCCAGCACTTCCTTCCTGACTATACTTGGTGAGGAGCGTGGGGTTTCCCAGGGTACTGCTGTCTCCGTAAAGGCGGATGAGGGGCAGGTCTGTACATAGAAATAAGATTTTTTTAGATGACACTTTTCCATAGATAATATTTCATCTCTTGTCTGTTGCATAATATTACAGAAAAAAGCATCTGTCCTCTCACCTGGCAGGAGCAGCAGCTGATGCAGGGTTACGTGAGTGAGATGATGAAGATGTGGCGGGTCCTGGATGTCCCAGCAGTGGGGGTGGATGAGGGTGGGATGAAGGATCCATAGGCAGTGGTTTCTTGGGAACTGGAGGTTTGGGGGGAACAGGGTTCTGAAACAGGATGAGGTCATTATTTTTTGTCTCATAAATTCAATTTACTATACATCACTGTTCAAAATAAAAGCAAAAGGACTGCACTGAGAGAAACAGATACTCTCAGATGTATCAGAACAAGAGCTGATTAGTATTGTTAATAGAGAGTTACACTTTACACGCCTGCGGTGATACCTGGCTGGTAGAGAGGACAGGGTCAGGTGGGAGAGGCTTGCTTGGTGCAGCCGGTCGTGTTCCTGTGGGCTGGACGTACAGTCGCAGATGCAGCCATGTGACAGAGAAAGGCAAGCGCTGGGTGAGACCATCTTATGCTGGGTACACACTAAAAGATTTTTAAAATCTTATAAGATCTTCAAGATGTGAGAGACCACAAACATGAGGACAAAAAATCCTAGATTTAACAGTTTGCTCCTATAGTGTGTGGTGTCCTCGGGGTTCCCCCCACACATCAGGATTTCTGATCATGTTGAATATATGCGATTCGCGATCGGGGCGCCTCCGACGTTCTTTCGAGCAGATCCAGTCACTCTTAAAGGCACAATATGTAAGATTTTTTAATTAAAATATCCAAAAACCACTAGAACAGTGTTATATATTTTGCTGACTTGTGTACTTACATTATCCCAAATGTTTCGAAGAATGTTTAAATCCAGAGAAATAAGCAATTTTAACTAGTGACACGGACGTGTCCATAGTGTCATTGTGTCGCCTGCCAATGACGTCATAACCCCTCGATTTCTGGTTTTGTTTTGTAGAAAACATGGAAATACCAAAGACGCTTTAATATGTTGTGCGTTTTATTAGACTGGTGACGACCGCACAGAGTAGCATTATGACAGAACTTTCAAATGTATCTAGTATGATAAAACAGCACTGCTTTTTTCCCCACATGTGCACGACCGGAAGGAGCGGAAGCGGTCGACTGTGGCATAATAAAAGCTCCGCTGCTTTCAAGCCGTGTGTCACGCTCGTTCAGCGGCCTCGTTTCACTTCGCCGGCTTTCAGCCTCACCCTGCTTCATTCTACTACGCTAATAAATCATTAGCTCATCCATAAACATGATTTCTGCCCGAGTCTTGTGGATTGCATCGGCTGTAGGGATGAAGACCACAACTCCCATGACTCAGTCGCAGCGTCATCGAACTACGCCTTTGTCTCTTTGTTTATTTTGAATACGCACCCTCTAGAGACGAAAATTACATATTGTGCCTTTAACACACCTCACACCACAGGAAAATCTGATAAGATAATCTTTAGAATCACCAAGATAATCGGGACATTACCTAGGATTGTCGGAAGGGGAGAAATCGGCCCAAAATCAGCTCGATTATCTTGTGGTGTGTACCCAGCATTACTGTGCCGTTTCACTCAAATCATTGGGGATCAATCTATTCCAACATGATTTTCCCTTGATCAGAAAATGTATTTGTCCGAGATCAGACTGAATCATAGGCCATGCACTGCACAATTGATTCCTCTGATTCATCCATGCAAAAGTCTGGTCAAATATCACTGTTTTCACCTTGCAGAGAGACTGGGAGAGATAAAACACATGCTATATATGCACATGGGGGCAAATACTTTTTCCCAGCACTTTACTAAGCTTGAACTAAGGTTAAAGTCCACGTGAACCGGAAGTTTGCGACCGATTTTACTTCCGTATTGTGACGTACTTCCGAGAGAAACAGACTATTGAATGAGGAAAATAGAGGGCGTGGCTTGTTTTTTCTACTTTGAACTGATTGGATGTAGTAAAGTTGGCGTTTCATTCGGAAATGAACACTGACAGTTGGAGGGGTGTGGTTAAGGATGTCATGCTCATGCTCATGCCCAAGCCGTCAAACTGACGTCATCAGAGAAGGCCTGTCATTTTAGAGGGGAGGAGCATTTTCAGATTTGGATTAAAGATTACGAAGGCAAACACATTTTTTTTGTGGATGAATTGTTCACCACAAAAATAGCAATGTGCGCTAACAAATAAATATAGTCAATTTTGATTCCACCCGGACTTTAAAGTACTGTTACTATTAAAGTAAGGTTAACACTGTTGTTTTGATATCAACTGCTCTCATATAATGCTTAGTACATAAAGTATTTCTGCACAATGCATCACAGAATAGTTTTTACAAACTAGTTATTATTAATAGTGATGTTATCCAACTCTTTATCTGCTCAAATTTTATTGTGGAAGGTGATAATATGTATCTAGTGGTAAAATGAGCACAAATGTAGTCTTTTTTATTTCTTTGATGTTCAATGTTTCAATTAAGCTGTCTTCGGGCATGAAAAACATTAAAATACACATAAATAACTAAAGTCACTGCTTCTAGTGGCATATATTAACTCTAAGGGTACTAGGTTTTATAAAACATTTAAAAATAAATCTGAAATAATTTAATTTTGAAATGTTTACATCTTTTAATTTTAAATGTATTATACAATTTGTTTTAATGAAATGTATAATTCAAATGTAAATGTAATTGTAAAATGTATTTTACATTTTTTATTTTATTTTATTAATTTTAACTTAATTTTGTACTGAATTCATTTTGTTTTCATTTTATTCATATTTTATTTAAATTAATTCAATAATTTAATCTAATTTCCATCCATCCTTTTTCCAAGCCACTAGGGTTGTGAGTTCATTTCATTTTTGCACTTTTATACATTAATTAATAAAAATTACTATATGTGATTGTGTGTTATCTATTAATGAATACTGGTTTACAAATCTAATTAAGGTAAAGCTATTAAGCATAAGCCTTCAAGTCAACTGAACTTAACTTACAACTGGAAGTGCACATTATGATGAATTAGATGTCAATAGAACATTTTCTTTATGGTGATATTTAAAAATATTCCAGATTACATATGACCTCTTGCTCTCCCCCAGTCTGATCTCACTCCATTCACTCCCATCCGCATGCACAAACCACCATCATCTTACCACACAGAGACACAGACCACAACTAGAAACATGGAGTGAGTTTCTAAAGGTAGACACTTTGGGCCAAAACACAATAACAGACACAGTCATACATGGCATGGCAGCTAGCAGCATATGCTCCCTCTACCTTGCACTGCATCTTGCTCTCTGAGGGGATGGGGTCAGGAGGGAGGGGTTTGGTGGGAGGAGCGGGCCAATGACCCGCCAACTGAAGGACCAGAAAGAGCAATAAAAACTGCATTGGTTTTTGTGTATATCACACAACGCTACATCTACCAGAACACCTCTATACATCTCTGTTCCTCACAAGCTTTGTGAGCAGCAATGAGATTTACCTGAGCAGGTTTAATGACAGGATCAGGTGGAAGAGGTTTAGTTGGAGCAGCAGGCCTGTTTTGGACCTAATAATAAGACAAAAGTGTTGCAGAGGGGGTAGTAGAGAGGGAGTGAACTTTTATTGCACATGCATGTTACCATAAGGAACGTTAGCTGGTTTAGGCATGACAGTAAGCCATTGGCTGGTATTGTTACAGCAGCAGAAGGAGACTCAGTGAAGTCCAGTAACAGTCAGATATTTTAGAAGTTTATGTGGAAACATATGCAGTATTCATGCAGTATAGACAATAAATAGTGGAGCAATGCATGTGTTACATACAGAAAACAAAAACATTGGCTGTAATTTTACTGCATCAAGCACAGTTTTTGTCATTTTTCCACGCATCGATGTTAAAGTCACCCAGACTAATTTGGTTATCCAGGTGAATGAGAAGGACTGTGACCTCTATAACCCTAAGACTGTGTATCAGCCCTCAGTAGCCTTAATTCACCTTTCAAAGGACATCTACACTCTTAAAAATAAAGGTGCTTCACGATGCCATAGAAGAACCTTTTTGTCTAAATGGTTCCATAAAGAACCTTTAACATCTGAAGAACCTTTCTGTTTCACAAAAGGTTCTTTGTGGCGAAAGAAGGTTCTTCAGATTATAAAAAGGTAAGAAAGAGATGGTTCTTTAAAGAACCTTTGACTGAATGTTTCTTTGTGGACCCAAAAATGGTTCTTCTATGGCATCGCTTGAAGAACCTTTTGAAGCACCTTTATTTTTAAGAGTGTATGACTAGGATTTTGCCTCTGTCCTACTTACTGATAAAAATAAATAAATAATCTACTACAGAGAACCACATGATACATTCTAGGGTTGGATCATTACCAGAATGTTCACTTTGATATGATACCAGTTTGTTATCTCAGTATCTCTACCTTTGGCAACAATTAAACAGCTTTGGGAAACGAATTAAATGAGACTAGATCTGCCAATAGATTCATATAATAGATTCAATCATATAAAATATCATTTAACTTGTATTATTTAAACTGGTTATTTTACTCCATTTTTGATTTATAGATGAATTACATAATTAACTGTCAAAATTTGGGGTCAGTAAGTTTTTTTTAATAAATTACATTTATTCAGTGAGGATCAAAATTGATCAAAAGTGACAGTAAAGATGTTTGTTATTTTCAACTTTTCATTCAATTCTTTTGCAACTGTTTTCAACATTGATAATAATAAGAACTGATTAATGAGCACCAAAATAGCATATTAGGCTGAAGACTGGAGTAACTGGATTGCCGGTTCCAGATGCTGAAAATTCAGCTTTGCCATCACAGGAATACAATACATTTTAAAATACATAAGAGTTATTTTAAATTGTAATAACATTTCACCATATTCACTGTATTTTTGACCAAATAAAAACAACCTTTGTGAGCATAAGACACTTCTTTCAACAACAAAAAAGAAAATCTTACAGGCCCCAAACTCTAATCTACCACCAGCTTGCTTTGTCATGGACATGGTGACCTCACTGTGAGCTCATTTCTGTATTTCTGTACAGACTCTCAGTAACCCTACACCGCATTATAGAAGATCATTCTCCAGTAATTGTATCACTGAGCGGTGCTCTGGAGCAGCACTGTTTTTCTCTAGATCAGATTTACCGTACCTTGCTGATAGCCTGGGTGAGAGGGATGTCGCTCTGGTGGGGCCACTGGTACCTGAGCGGTTGCACCTGATCTCCATTTCGAGCATTTGCAAGCTCCATGGCAGGAGTCCTGTGGGGAAAATACAATATCTTCAAAATATTATTAACCTCAAATTAATGTTACTTTTTTTCAGCATAAAGAAATTAAATATGTTGAGAACTATTTGTTGCTGGTCAATGTTACATACACAACGTTACATTTATACCAATATAATATCAGAGGGTATTTAATGTTACAGAATAACAAGCATCTTACTATCCAAATCTACTTCACATACTGTTGTTTAATAGGGAACTGGAGAACTGTGTGAGAAAGCCAGCTAGCAGGGAGACACTTAACATTTAAAACTAAACAAACATTTTTTCTCATCGAACCAGACCTCTGGTGTTTTAAAAAAAAAACAGTAAGAAACTCTTATGCTGGAAGTACTACAATGCACATAACCAGAGAGGAGCTTGTGAATGACAGCCAATGCTAAGCCAATTTTAAATCTTTTTTTCTTTTCCTTTTTTTTTTTTAAATTGTCATTCAAAGCCCCTGCTGGTGAGAGACAAATGTTCAGCTATACGAGAATAGCGACTGCTACCACATGGTTTGTTTTGCACCACAAACTGAAGCTCCACATTCAGAGATACCTCTGGTTTTCCTCTTTCACACAGTATTCAATATAGGCCACCGAGACCCCACTGCACCGTGGGTAAAACACAATAAAATAATATCATTATTGATTTATAATATGATCTTTGACTGTGATGAATGATTTGATCTTTTATCTGACATTAACACCTAAGGTTGTAATTTCTGTCTGGCTGTTGTATTTTTATGGTACCGGTGTTTTTTGTTTTTTTTACAGTATGTTTGTTTCAAACTCTTAGAAATGTTTCATTTGTTTTTAAAATACTTTTATGCGATTTTAAGTTAAAATTTAATGTGGTGTAACCATCAAGTAAAAAGTTCAATAGTACTTACATCTTGGATACAATATTAAATATTAATAAGCAGTTTATTTATTTATTAAAATGTTAAATCATTTATTATTATTTCTACATAATAAAAGATTTTGCCAAACTTCTATAAGGTTTTCTTTTTACTAATTTCATTCCTTTTAAAGCTTTTTTTCCTTTATTATGTTGTCCAGACTGTTGTTTCACCAGGACATTTATGATTTATCTTTCCCCAAAATAATTTTAATTCAGAAGTTAAAAACATGCTCATCATATTTTGAGTCACTGTAAGCTTAAATGGCATTTTTTAAATAAATTATTTATTAATATCTCTCACGTCATTTGTCATTGCTGCTTTACACAGGCTACACTCTTAAAAATAAAGGTGCTTCAAAAGGTTCTTCAAGCGATGCCATAGAAGAACCATTCAGTCAAAGGTTCTTTAAAGAACCATCTCTTTCTTACCATTTTATAATCTGAAGAACCTTCTTTTGCCACAAAGAACCTTTTGTGAAACAGAAAGGTTCTTCAGATGTTAAAGGTTCTTTATGGAACCATTTAGACAAAAGGGTTCTTCTATGGCATCGTGAAGCACCTTTATTTTTAAGAGTGTAAGTAAAGTGAGATATATTGCTTTAATAAAGTGCGTCATCTTTTAACCATATTCTGTGTTTTTCTCAGTCTTACCGGCTCTGTCGGCTCTTGTTGAAGGGGGTGTGGCCGAGGTACACAAGGCCTCGTCGACAGCGCGGGAAGCGGAGTGCGACAAACAGCAGCGAGACCGGTAACACAAACAGGAAAATGACCAGCAGAGCCACCCGCGCAGGATCTGAATCTGTATACGAACAAAAACCAGGCTAAACACTACCACGCCAATGTAATCATTGTGATTATGTGTTACTTACTGAGTCCAAATGTCTAATGAATCAGTGTGTGTGTGTGTGTGTGTGTGTGGTACCTCTGGGCTCTCGTGCAGGGCCGCTGTCCACACTGCCACCGGTTCCAGAGTATCTGCAGTCAGGAGGAGCCCAGCCTTCATCACAGTGACAGTTCTTATTACTGTTACACACCTACACAAACAAAGACGCAAAACAGAGAAAACTGAGAAAAATAACTGCATTTGAAAAACTTAAAAGTGTTTATAATTCTCTGAAGTGGCAGTGTCTGCTCCGTCCCTCCCCCCTCCTCACCCCATGGCCATTGCACTTCCTGTGGCATTCCTCAACACCAAACATGGACACGTCCCGGCACTTTTGGTCTACACATGCCTGAGAAAACAATGTTACAATAAATCAAACATGCAATAAATTGAATACATTTCAAATATGTTTTTTAAAAATTCCAGGACTATAAATAAGAAAATATCTTATTATGGAATTCAGTAATGACTCAGCATGATTAATGACACTAAATGTACAGTAGAATATCTGTATTACATAATTAGCAATCCTAAAAAGACACACTTACGCCCTGTCCACACGAACGTGGTTATTTTTAAAACCGCAGCTTTTTCTACGCGGTTAGGCCGTCCGTCTACACGCAAACACAGCACCAGTTCACTGAAACCGAACATTTTTGAAAACGCCTGCCAGGGTGAAGATTTTCAAAAACTCCGGTTGTATGGTATGCCAAAGCTGACTTAATTAGAAATAAATAAATAAATGCACAAAGAAATGTAAAAAAAACTAATATAAATAAATGAATAAATATACAAAGAAAAGTAAAAAAGCAAAAATAAATAATTATTTCTAATTTTATTTCCTTATTTATGTATTTTTTTTTTTTATTTCCACTTTTATTTATTTTCACATTTATGTATTTATTTACGTATTTATTTAGTTATTTCCACATTTATTTTTACATTTATTTATTTTTACATGTATTTATTTTCACATTTATTTATTTTGACATTTATTTTGACATTTATTTATTTTCACATTTCTTTCTTTCTACATTTCTTTGTCCGTAGGGTAATGAGGATGGCGTGTTTTACCTCAGTAATAGCAATGAGCCAGAGTAGGCGAGGGGTAAGCTTTGAGGCCACAGTGACACCTTGTGGTGCCCAAACGAACTACAAGAAGTGTAGCCTACATGACGTGCCTGTTGATAGCGTGGGATGAATGATTTAGATGGGCAATATGGCCAAAATCTTATATAACAGGACAGGTTATTATTTCAATTTCACGTGGGGGTATGTTTCGGCTGGGAAGTGTGCAATCTGTGATCGAAAGCCTGCAATCGCTTTCTTATGCATGCTGTATTTTTAGGTTTCACTTTCAATGCATACAACGCATGTTTCAAAGATTCGGAATAGAAGGAGGCATCAGCTGGAGAAGATTGAATATATACATATACATATATATATATATATATATATATATATATATATATATAATAGTTTTTGTATAGAAGGAGAAAGCATCTGGAGAAGATTAAATATATACATATACATATATATATATATATATATATATATATATAATAGTTTTACGTCAAATGGATAAGAAAATTGCAGTGCCTTGAATTCATTAAGTAATGTTTTATTTCGTTCTAACCTATAACTCGGGAAATGTACCGAAAAAAAATAAGCCTATCGTTTTTACTTAAAACCAATTAATTTTAAGCCCTGATTTTAGACACATAAGATAATATATTATTGTTTGACTAAATGTTTAAAAATAACGCTAGAAATTTTATAATTAAGGGAATTAAACATAGGCCTAGGCATTTCAAAGTACATAATGAAATGTGTCTTTTTCAAGCAATAATTCCAAAAAGAAAGAGAAGCATCGGACTTAATGCAAAACATATTCAAGACACATTGCTGTGACATTTATTAGGAACACCAACATAGCAGAAAAGCTAATGTTTTTTGTTATATTATGCACAAACTAAGAAAAGTAAAACAAACCTTAACCTTTCAATAGCTAAAAGCACCGTGTTGTCTGCAGTGTTGTATTTGGTGGAGCGGTAGCTGAATAAAAAATAGCTTAAATGTTTAGTCAAACAATAATATATTATCTCATGTATGTCTAAAATCAGGGCTTTAAAAATGAATTGGTTTTAAGTAAAAACGATAGGCTTTTTTCCCGTTACATTTCCTGAGTTACAGGTTAGAACGAAATAAAACATTACTTAAAGGCAGAGTAAGTGATTTCTGGTAGCCAATGTTGATATTTGAAATCACCAAAACAAACACGCCCCTACCCCAAAAGGGTCTTGCCCCTATTTTGATAGCTCCGCCCCACATATACGTACGCAACCCAGGCAACGATTAGTTCTGTGAAACAAAGCAAAACCAATGTTACACCGTGTCTACGGACGTGAGTGGCGCGGCGCAACAAATCCCAACAGAAAACTGCTGCCAGGTTCTATATATGACGTGCTGACACAAATTTCAAATGGTTTTCAAGGGTCGTTTGATCGCGTTCAGTGTAGGCAGACTTTAGCTGTTGTAGACACGGTGTTACTCACCTATTGAGAAGAAACAAAGCAACGTCGGCATCAGATCGCAGGCCTCCGCTCCTTGAGTTCTCTCCAGCGCTGGAAAGCTGATCCGATATTTACACGGGTCCTACTTCTTGCCTTATCGTTCCGCAGACGTTTTCCTCTTTTGTTTTTTATCCGCCATCTCGATCTTTCTGTCGCTCGGCTCGGCTAATGTCCGTCCCATGCACTGAAAGCTCTCTCCTCCACATCACGAGTAGACACGCCCCTTATTGCTGATTGGCTACAAGTTTGTTTTGCTATTCGGCCCGAATCAGTTTTTCTAAAGTGTTTTTTGAAAAATCACATACCCTGCCTTTAAATGAATAATTTTTATTTCATCATATTCATGATTTATGAATTAATTCAAATTTCATTTTATAGAATGGGTATTCGTTATGTTAGTATATTGCTTATGATGAAAATTAATTAGCCTAGCCTATTTGTTATGAAGTTGATTTAAAATTCTTCATAACAAATTTTAAGAAGAAGTTAAAAGTTAAGAAAGAATTAAATTAGCCTGCAGGCTATAGATCTATAGGCTAATTTTCTTAACTTTTATTAGACTGCAGATCGGAAAAAAATTATTCTTGATAATCTTTCAAATAAGAGAAATCACTGACATAATTTAGGCTACTTTATTTGACTGCAGAAAAAACTAAACCATTTAATTTGCAGTCAGGCAACGATTAGTTCTGTGAAACAAAGCAAAACCAATGTTACACCGTGTCTACGGACGTGAGTGGCGCGGCGCAACAAATCCCAACAGAAAACTGCTGCCAGGTTCTATATATGACGTGCTGACACAAATTTCAAATGGTTTTCAACGGTCGTTTGATCGTGTTCAGTGTAGGCAGACTTTAGCTGTTGTAGACACGGTGTTACTCACCTATTGAGAAGAAACAAAGCAACGTCGGCATCAGATCGCAGGCCTCCGCTCCTTGAGTTCTCTCAAGCGCTGGAAAGCTGATCCGATATTTACACGGGTCCTACTTCTTGCCTTATCGTTCTGCAGACGTTGTCCTCTTTTGTTTTTTATCCACCATCGCTATCTTTCTGTGGCTCGGCTCGGCTAATGTCCATCCTGGGCACTGAACGCTCTCGCCTCCACATCATGAGTAGACACGCCCCTTACTGCTGATTGGCTATTAGCCTGTAGGCTATAGATCTATAGGCTAATTTTCTTAACTTTTATTAGACAGCAGATCGGAAAAAAATTATTCTAGATAATCTTTAAAATGAGAGAAATCACTGACATAATTTAGGCTACTTTCATCGATTGCAGAAAAAAACAAAACCATTTAATTTGCAGTATTAACTTATGAATTAAATGAAAAACAAGAAATAAATCACAACAAGAACAATAGTTTTTTTTCTTGTAGTCGGCATCAGATCGCAGGCCTCCGCTCCTTGAGTTCTCTCAAGCGCTGGAAAGCTGATCCGATATTTACACGGGTCCTACTTCTTGCCTTATCGTTCTGCAGACGTTTTCCTCTTTTTGTTTTTTATCCGCCATCTCTATCTTTCCGTCACTCGGCTCGGCTAATGTCTGTCCCATGCACTGAAAGCTCTCTCCTCCACATCACGAGATGAGTAGACACGCCCCTTATTGCTGATTGGCTACAAGTTTGTTTTGCTATTCGGCCCGAATCAGTTTTTCTAAAGTGTTTTTTGAAAAATCACATACCCTGCCTTTAATGAATTCAAGGCACTGTAATTTCCTTATCCATTTGAGTAAAACTATTATATATAATTAATATATATATATATATATTAGGGATGTGCATCTCATGACTGAGGCCGATACGATACGCATCTCAATGCATGGCCAATGATATGATACATTATAGATACATATGAAGCAGCTACCAATGCGATATGATTCACCCCTATTGCCACATACAATCGTTGTTGTCAGTCGCAAATATTAAACATGTTTTAGGCTATAATGCATGGCGTGTGTATTTCACTAGCTCCGTTCCCATGGACACCTTTTGTTTGATCTAATTCTGGATATTTCCATCCTAAGATGTGTGATTAATCAGCCGATTAATCCATATCTAAAGCCGGTTCTACACCAAGAAAACCCATTACAGGAAGTGACGCGAGGTGACAAATCTTCTACACTAACTGATGCCTCCTTCTATCCCGAATCTTTGAAACATGCGTTGTATGCGTTGAAAGTGAAACCTAAAAAACAGCATGCATAAAAAAGCACGCTTTCGGGAGCTTCAGCAAATGCACGCGATCACAGATTGCACGCTTCCCAGTCTAAACAACCCCCCACTTGAAATTTAAATAAGATTTTGGCCATATTGCCCATCTAAATCATTCATCCCACACTATCTACAGGCACACTTCTTGTAGTTCGTTTGGGCACCACAAGGTGTCACTGTGGCCTCAAAGCTTACCCCTCGCCTACTCTGGCTCATTGCTATTCCTGAGGTAAAACACGCCCTCCTCATTACCCTACGGACAACGAAATGTAGAAAGAAATAAATGCGAAAATAAATAAATGTATAAATAAATAAATAAAAACATAAATAAATGCATAAATGTGAAAATAAATAAAAGTGGAAATAAATAAATGTATAAATAAATAAAAGAAAAAATAAATAAACGTGGAAAAAAAATAAATAAATACATGAATAAGGAAATAAAATAAATATTTATTTTTGCTTTTTTACTTTTCTTTGTATATTTATTTATATATTTATATTTGCTTTTTTTTTACATTTCTTTGTAAATTTCTTTATTTATTTCTAATAATGGCAGGATTGGCATTCCATACGGTTGCAGTGTTATTGTGTAGACAGCGAAACCGGAGTTTTTGGCTTGTGATGTCAGCGCCTGCGCTGTTACCTCCGCCTACTGGAGACTTTTTCATTACATTTCTTTGTAAATTTCTTTATTTATTTCTAATTATGGCAGGATTGGCATTCCATACGGTTGCAGTGTTATTGTGTAGACAGCGAAACCGGAGTTTTTGGCTTGTGATGTCAGCGCCTGCGCTGTTACCTCCGCCTACTGGAGACTTTTTCAGGCTTCTGATTGGCCAACATGGCTTTACGGTTGAGATTATATCGCCACCTGTTGGTTTGGCATGCTCTTGACAGTGCTTCACAGAATGCATTTGCATTTTCATGTGGATGGAGATTTTTTTTTAAACGGAAGAAGGAAAAACTCTGTTTATTAAAATACCCGTGTATGTGTGGACATGGCCTTAATGTACACTCACCTTGTTGGGGCCACAGGCCGTCCCCTGTGACACCATGGCTGGGTCTGAAACATCATCACCCAGATTAAAATAGGCACCCCGGCAGGTAAAGTCACTCTGGTTCAGTTTGACCGTTGTGGTCAGAATCTCAACGTTGGAGCCCAGCAGAGGACGCTCATTTCCACCCTGACACTGGATCCTACCACAATGCACATTCCTAAGCAAAACAGAGCACATTAAAAACAAAGATTACAATCATATTTCCACAAGGTCCAATGTAACTAGACGTTAACAACATTACAGCACAGTTTTGTTGTAATTATGCTTCCACAGTATATGCAAATAAATCACAAAACAGACAGTTGGATAAGAAACATTTTAGGAAACAATCATGATCATATCAGTACTTGAAATTGATCAGATTTTAGGCTACATGTCCTCACCATTTCAAACAGGGGATGTAGGAACCATTGGGCATCTGGCCACAGTTTCCATATTTATTACCCTGCTTATTCACAGAGGAGAAGCAGATCGGTGGAGCGTGGGTGGAGTCTTCGAGGGGCGGAGAGAACAGAGATTCAACCACAATAAATCTAGACTCTAGATGAGAATCATCAGATTCATCATTGTGAAGCATGCGACACTCACTCGGTCCCCAGAGCATTTGGCACTGCTCGTCCAGACTGGCACACACGCCGCTGTAGCAGTACGAGGACCCATCCTTGCATGACTCTCCGTTCTGCAGAAACACATTAGGAGGACAGTAGGGCGAAGTGCCAGTGCAGTACTCCGGCAAATCACAATCTCCCAACGGCTCCCGACAAACCGACCCGGCCACACGCAGCTGTTGGGAAAGATATGGTTGGGGTGCAGTGAGAGAGTGCCATTACCTGCGCATGTTTAAGTGTGTAATCATATGCACCTTTACAAACCTTGCAGTTCTCACAGCAGATGCCATCAGAAGAGCACTGGGCCCCAGGAACCAGTTTACACGTGCTGGCATTGCAGCAAGGGTCACTACATTCCTAAACACACACACACACACACACACACACAAACAGGAAGCAGATTACAGAGGTGAAGAGCGCATTACTACATTTATTTGTTTTACAATCCTACAGTCTGACATGTTCGGACAGAGAGTTTGTCATTAAATTCTTAATAGCCCTGATGATTAGGGGAGGGAACTGTCTTTAATCTCACGATTCTCGATTTTGAATCGAATTTCGATTGGATATAGTAAAACTACTGTATTTTCTCGCAGTGGGTCAAAATTGCATTGTGAAGAGAAATAAAAACACAGATAAGTCACATCGGTGTAAATTTGATTATATTAAGAAATAAATGTAAAACTTGTAAATAAAACAAAATGTTTAGAAACATTATAAAAACTTTATTTTTAACTATAAAACTATATGACTACGTCTTAGTGTGTTTCCCTCACTCCACAACAAATCCTTTAAAGTCAACAGTATTTAGAATAACACATAAATTAAAAATATCAAACAAACATAAATTATATTACCGTAACCATTATAAACAATATTTATTATAATCACCATGCTTAAACAAATATATTTAAAGTGAAAGATGATAAAAATGTGACTGATATTCACAGAGAATAAAGTACTTCGTGTTTTCTGTGACTTTCATTTCTGGATGGTTTCGTCTGATGAGAGTCTAAATTTTTTTCCTAACCTTATTAAATGTATGCGTTAGTTTTGTCAAATTCTTACATTCAGTCAGTAAGCTCACTGCACAATAAATTATGTACTGCTCTCACAGTTGACTTCCACCTTTTTTGTTCCAACAACATTTCATTATTAACTAATATTTACAAAATCAACTTTTGAAACTTGTAAATCATTTCAAAATTGGTGGTAGATAGAATCATGATCCATTTGTGAATCAAATTTTACTCCACCTCTACTGATGATTTATTATTTGTGCCTGTAATGTTTGCTATCAGGGATAGTTCAAACTCCAAAAAACTGTAAAGCAATTAAGAGTAGCTGTGATGCAGTATATATACCAGTAGAGGGAATAAGTGTCTCACAGCTCTGTGTGTGTGAGTGTGAGAGAGAGATTGATCTACTCTCTTACCTCTTTATGATCCGCCACCAGCACCAGCTCAATATATTTGATCTCTGAGAGAATGTCTCTCTTACTCTGTCACACAACAGCAGAAAAGGATCATGACAATCAAACAAATGCACATACCTATAAATACACTACACAGTAAACACACACAGCTTGCTCACCCTGTGTGTGTGTGGGGTGATCTGAATGGGAGGAATAGAGGTATGTGACACTCCACAATCTCTAGACTCGGATGTTTGCAGATATGTCGGGTAGATCACATGCATCCATCCTTCTTCCATTTCTCCACTCCCTTCCTCTTCTTTTTCATGCTTTTCTTCCTCAGGATGCAGCTCAAAGCTCAGTGTGGCGTTAATGACTATCACTCCCCTACAGAGAGAAAAAGAAGTGTCATGAATCAACATTACTAACACAGACCGAACACACCCATAATTCAGTTAAATCTCTCACAGGATGTGGTAAGATTTGAAAAATGTAAAGCAATATTACCGTAACCCAGAGCAGGAGCTGAGTACCACACGGGACTGAGGGTAACCTTGCACTGAACCATGATAGTAACAATGCGTCTGTCACAGAAACAAATTGACGTTAAGGTGCATAAAGAACTGCAACATTCCAAAAAGCGCTGTGAAATAAATGTGCACTAGTGTACAAAGGACTCAACTCACCACTAGGTTCTCCTTCATGGATACCCCAGTTCCATTTGGCAGATAGTAGAACACGTTAGGCAGCTTTGGCAAAAGATCTCTGCAAGCAGACAAATGTTCAGATATGATGATTTATATAACTTCATTAGATACTGATTTATACACACAGGAAATGACTTACTGGTTTTTCTCCAGGTCCAAGACATACAAGCTGCTTCCCACTTGTAAACCACATAGCAATCTGTCAGGGTGACCATTCTGGAGAGAATGAGAGAGACAGATTTCATGTTACAAAGAGATTATTTGAATAGTGAATTTGTTATACAGAGATGTAACAAGGCCTATTTATGAGCCCTCCTGCTCCACGTCAGCAAAATGCTACAAATAACTGTCTTTATTCATATCAGTACATATGAGATCATGTTTTCTTCAAGCAGAAAAATCACAAATTTTGTGTTAAACCTATACTTCTTAATTTATAGAAACGCTTTTGACCAAGTGAGACTTAAGTATCCCTTTATTGCTCAGAGCTGATGTCACTTCCTGTTTGTTGCTGCCGTGTGGTTTGAGTTTGAGCTCCGTCAAGTTAATTCTTTGTCGTCTAATTTTTATCTTAAAATCAATTTTATACAATATGAATGTTAAATCATATAATCACATTACTTGTATAATGTAATTTTATTACTATTACTGAACTAAAAAATAACAGCGAGTACTGTGAGTGGAAAACAGACACAGTAGCACATATATTTTGCTATAAAAGTCAACAGAAAGATTCTAAATATTATGAGTTAATCTATAATTTAATCTGCTATATAAATCTAACAAAGCAGGAAGAAAATCTTTCCAAGTACCCTGAACTTGTACACAACACCTCTGATTTGGAATCACTGCACCAGCACATGGCCAGAGGAAAAGATAGGTTCTCTAAGAGGATAAAATAGCTTGATTTTAGAGGATGAACTGGGCTATAAACAGACGTCCTCTCCTCCATACTCTTTCTGAGCCTTTCTCTCATCTCACTTCCTATTCTAAGCACCTTTTCCTGCCGTTCTATCACATCCCATTGGCTCGCACACACATTCAGCAGCCTGATGAAAAAGTGAAACCCCACTCAGCTTCCTGTTACACCGGCTGCTGCTGTTTCCTGCTTTTCTCCAATGTGCTAATGGAAACAGCTTACTTTATTGACCCCTCCTCCTCTCAGCCAATAAAATCAGGTCTATCTGACTTCTAACCGGCCTCTCTCTTTCCCTGCTTGTCGATGTAAGTTAGACATCTCTCACAGCAAACTGACTTTAAAAGGAAAGGTTACATTTGTTCTGTGTGCCTTTTTTTATGGAAAATGGCCTTCTTACATTGATGTAAACTAACATTTGGCAAGTATTTAAAGTCTGCATCACCAACAACAGTAGCTTAAAACAATGCATAAATAGCTGTTTGGTTACTGGTTTACTAATATTATTTTCCCTGCCTGCATGGATAGCTGGAAAGGACAGTTGTTTCAGAGGCGGAGCAAGTTATTATTTTTTGATGAAAAGTCACAATAACAAAATTTTCCTTACATAACATGAATGCGCAAAAGCAGCAGGGATCTGAATTAGTAAAGTAAACAGGGTCAATTTTGATGTTGTGTCTCAAGTACAAGACGGTTGTGCTGAAATCCTGGATGGCTGTCCGACCTCCTACAGCTCTCTCAGATCTCATCCAGTCTCTTGCGAAAGCTTTAAATGCTCTTAAAGATCTTGTGGAGTTGCTAAAAAGGTTCACCAAAAGGTCATGAGACTGTCATCACAAGAGCATCACTCTCTAAGCCACATCTGCAGTCATTTACTGAGCTGCACAACACACCCATACAAGCACTTTCTCCCAAGATCGAACCTCTGGGCTGTTCACAAAAACTGAAGCCCACATTCAATCAGCACATACTGTTCCAGCATTGTTCAGGTTTCCTACAAAACCACAGGCATCTATTTGTAGGCTATACATTTATTGCTATCAGATGGTTCTGGTGAGAGCATTTCCTATGAACCCCTGGGAACAGACTGCAGTTCAATGGGAATGGGTGGATCTCTTGTCTCTGAACAACCAGGGCCAAGTCAAACTAAGTGACTGAGGCAAAGATAAAAAAGAGAGTTCGAATGTGTGTACTTTTCAGATAGACATCCCATGTGCCAGAAACAAAACTGGAGGGTTTTCATTTACTTTTGGTCATTGTTTTATGTTTAATATTATGAAGCAAGCATGTGAGAGAAATAAGTCTGGAGGTGGAGGCAGAGCAGAGATCTTTATTTATGCATCTAAAACTCCAAACTTTTACCAAAAACCTGCCACTTCCATCCTCAGTGTCTCAGAGTCCATTCCTTCATACCTGACTAATTTTTATATCGGATTTCTTTGACTGCAACACATTACACAATATTTCTTTTTATTTTCTCTGGCCCTCTTTTTTCTGTTTACAACATTCTTCAGAATCATCCGGATATCTTAATGACCTCAAAAGACTTGAAAAATACCATTTATGAACCCCTTTTTTAATACGGTTTTGAAACTGTTGAGGTACCAAATGGGCATTAACTGTATTAAAAAAGCTTTTTTGTGTTCTCTTAAAGAAACAAAGTCATACCGGTTTGGAGCGACATGAGGGTAAGGAAATTATGACATAAACGATCCCTTTAACCACTCCATCCCTGAATACTCATTACTGCTTCTCTCTTTCTTTTCTCTGCCTCAGCCAATCTGTTCTCCTCTTTCTCTATTCTGTTATTGCCTTCTGCTCCGCCCTCTCTCCATTTCTCCCCCTCTTTATAAGCCTCTTTTTTTCAGTCTGAGGTAATGTCCCTGTGCACATGCGATGACCTCAGCCGCTGATGAATGCTGGGTGGAGAACTGCACCAGAACTGCGCCTGCGCCTTAGCCCTGGCCCATATGAGCCCTTCTCATATGGGTTTGGTTTGATTCTTTTATTATTACTACAATTAATAAATTCTGGAATTGGTTCAATAATAAATGCAATAACATTTTGAGATTTAACTGATTCACTTCTTTTTTTGTAAAATACCACTGACAAATATTAAAATGTGTATATATATCTACAAATTATCATATTAACATCCACAATATCAGTTTTTGGTTCATGCAGTCGGACGTGGAGAAATTAAAGACATGTGGTTGAGTAAATGAGTGATTCAAAAGTGTTGGTGAGTCACTAAAATGAAATATCTCATAAGAGCTAGAGAGACTTCACTGGTTACACTATATATTTTTTTATTCTCTAAAAAAGAACCGACTCATAAGAGCCATTCTTCACACTGGTATGTTTTTGATTTGCTCATAAAAGTCATTCACTCAGGAAACAGTTTTCACTGGTATGTTTTGTATTCATGGGAACACCATCCGCGTGTTCCATCCACATTGGTGGAAAATGCATGTAAATGGAACTAAACATCATGAATCTTTTTGTATCTGTAATGTTTTAATTGAATCTGGTTGCTAGCCCTAGAAGCCACTATATTTAATTGTGGTTGAAGTAAATAAAACTGTGTGGGATATGACTACACAGGTTAAGCTCTATTAGGGTGCCATAAGAGAGTGACACTCAGAAAATATCCTTATTTACATGACAGAAAACTACATCTGTGCTCGGTAACTCCATTTGTTTCGCCAATCAAAACACTTTGAGGCAGTGTCTGTCAATCAATTTGCACATTATAAGGCTGCCCACATAGTTCACCCAAAAATGAAAACTCTTGTCATCATTAACTAACCCTCGTGTTGTTTCAAACCTGTATTGCTTTCTTTCTTCTTTTGTTTACAGTTGACGTCATGTATGGACAAAAAAAGACATGTCTCAAAACAAAGTAGATTTAAAATGACACGAGGGTGAGTAAATGATCTTCATTTTTGGGTGTACAATCCTTTAAGCCGTTTTCAAGTTTTAGATGAGATGAACACTCTCTCTAATTGCCATATTAATATAATTTGAGTTCCAGTTAGTGGGTGGTGGATGGCTTGAGGACAACAGTTTATAATCAACAGACTGTATTCATTGGTGCACACACACACACACACACACACACACACACACACACACTCTTTTGTTTACAGTTGACGTCATGTATGGACAAAAAAAGACATGTCTCAAAACAAAGTAGATTTAAAATGACACGAGGGTGAGTAAATGATCTTCATTTTTGGGTGTACAATCCTTTAAGCCGTTTTCAAGTTTTAGATGAGATGAACACTCTCTCTAATTGCCATGTTAATATAATTTGAGTTCCAGTTAGTGGGTGGTGGATGGCTTGAGGACAAGTTTATAATCAACAGACTGTATTCATTGGTGCGCACACACACACACACACACACACATACATAAAAACGCACACACACCCAAGCCATCACACGCCTTTCCTTTCCATGGCAAAACAGTCTAAAAACAGACCATCGTTGCCTTAGTTTTTGTGATTCAACCAGGCACAGAGGGGCTGTGTATGACAAAATAAATGAATCAGCTTGTAACCCAGGGAGCATTTTGTATATCACACTGTTGAGAGAAGTGACAAAGAGAATCAAATTAATTATGAGACAGTGAATGAGTAATTATTTAAAGGTCAAGAGAGGGAGGTGGGTTTGGTGTCTGTATCTGTCCTGTCCTGGAGGGAGAATGTAGGTGTGTTGAAACATTCAGCTGGAAACTTCCTGCCATAAAGTATGATCTGAGAAGAGCGGAACTAGAGGCAACATTAAGGGGACGGACACTTCCTGTGCAGCTGAGAGCAACTCTTGACTATGAAGTCATGTCCTGCTAAATTCCCCCATTCCACACACACACACACACACACACACACTTTTATTACTAGTTCCAGTAAGGAATTTTATCCACATAGGCATGAAATGTTTTTCAATTTAACATGCTATTTTACTGTGATTCATTTTTTTCTGTTCTTAGACAGTGCAAAAACTCACCTGTAAAACATCACTCAGGCTTCTCCTAAGTCCATTAACAAAAGCAAACGGCCTTGTCTTTGCCAGAGGCTTCAGTTCTCTTCTATGACTTGTGACTGTAGGAGATAAAGAAAACTAGTTTTTAAACTTCCCATTGTCTTATGAACTGTCATACACAAAATGTGCCCATTTCCCTGGTTAATTTCAAATGCTTTTGGCATCTGAAGTATTTTATAACAAGAAATTAATCTCTAACGAATCTCTTCAATATTTGTGCATACAACTGGAAACTTCCTGCCATAAAGTATGATCTGAGAAGAGAGGAACTAGAGGCAACATTAAGGGGACGGACACTTCCTCTGCAGCTGAGAGCAACTCTTGACTATGAAGTCATGTCCTGCTAAATTCCCCCATTCCGCACACACACACACACACACACACTTTTATTACTAGTTCCAGTAAGGAATTTTATCCACATAGGCATGAAATGTCATTCAATTTAACATGCTACTTTACTGTGATTCATTTTTTTCTGTTCTTAGACAGTGCAAAAACTCACCTGTAAAACATCACTCAGGCTTCTCCTAAGTCCATTAACAAAAGCAAACGGCCTTGTCTTTGCCAGAGGCTTCAGTTCTCTTCTATGACTTGTGACTGTAGGAGATAAAGAAAACTAGTTTTTAAACTTCCCATTGTCTTATGAACTGTCATACACAAAATGTGCCCATTTCCCTGGTTAATTTCAAATGCTTTTGGCATCTGAAGTATTTTATAACAAGAAATTAATCTCTAACGAATCTCTTCAATATTTGTGCATACAACAAAACCATTCATCGCTACTTATGCAGAACAACTTGTGCTTAGAAAAACTTCTTGTAGTAGTTTTTTGTAGTAAATTTATATATAAAGTGCTACATAACATATTGTAGGGTGAAAGGTCATAGCATGTCATGTCATAACATGTAATGTAAATAATGAAATATAGAATTTTATGAAAGAAAGAAACTTTGTTTTTATTGTGAAAAAAAAAACTTTTGTGGTATTTATTTCATACTGCTTACAGAAAATGGGTCAGAAGGGTTAATCTGTTCAACTGTGAAAAGTGTGTTTTTTGTAAATGCAACCCAAATACTTGGGTAATCATCACTGGTTATTTTTTTGGCTAATGTTTCCAAAAATTTCCCTGAATGTCAAATTTGGTGAAACTAACACAGACAGATAGTTTTGTCTCAAATGCACACTCATACACCTAACAGGAACACACTTGTGAGTAATAACCACTATAAAGGCTAGCTCTGTTGTGAGGGCAGCTGTTGTTTTGTCTGTGACTGACAGCTGTGCTGGAGCATGCATGTACAGCACTGGTTTGCAGGGCCTCTAAACTGGATCAGAAGCACCAAATACAATCTGGTCAGTCTGGCTCGAACAAATAGCTGGAACTACCAGCCAAAAATGACAAAACTTGCAGAGATGACATTATAGCTCTAGGATTATCAACAAACGGTTTAATTTACTTGGAAACAAGTCAGAACTGGAAATCCAAAAGGGAATGAGCGAGCATTTTGGCTGTGTAATGGCTTTTATAGAATAAGCTTCCTTTCCAACAGCCCAGATCGAAGAGCAATTATGTTCAAGAATGAACAGTCCTACATTATACTGTTTGAGCAGTTTACAAAAATTGAGCCTGTGATTAGGTGGGTAAACGATAGTCTGCTAAGCAGACTATTAAAGAACAGAGCCTGTGACTTATCTAGACTAAAATAGCTGAGCTGTCCGCTGTGTTTCTTTGTGGGTCTACAGAAGAAATATTCTGGGTTCCCCAACCCTCACGAAAATTAACCATGGTTTTACTACAAATAAAACCAAATCACTGTAGTTAAACCATGGTAACCACATATTAACCATGCTTTGCTACACTAACCATAGTTTAACCATGGTATTTGTAGTAAAGCTGTGGTTATACAAATGGTAGTCAATACACCAAAAAAAACATGGTTACTTCACTTTTACTCTATAATAAAACCATGGTTAATTTTCGTAAGGGAAGTAACATATTAGTGAACAGTTCTTAAAAGAACCATTTTTTTCTTAGTTTGAAGAACATCTACATCTATTATCTAAAGAACCTTGTGTGCAATAAAAAGGTACTATGGATGTTAAAGGTTCTTCAAGGAGCCATAGAAGCCAATAAATAGTGTTTCTTTCTTCTTGTTTGACTGTTTTACAAACAAAACATAGCATTATATGTTAAGCTTTAGAAGCACATGTATAATTATTCCTTACTGCCTTGATGCAACAATTACTCAATGCAATACTCAAAGCAGAGCATCCCATACCATTGTGAAAGGCGTGAGTTATCCGTGTGAAGCTGCTGTCATCCCTGTTTAGGGTCAGCGTTAGGGTCCCCCTGAACATCACGAGCGGGGTGCCTTCAAACAGAAGAACAGTGACGAGAGTTTGCCAAAAACACCTGAACAACTGATGATGGTGCTTCATGGTCCAGTGACGCATTGAGCTGTCTCTTCTTTGAATTCAAGTAGAGAAGCGAATCAGTACACTTGTTAAAAACAGTCACGCGTATCGCGCTAAGACGGCCCGTGGTCAGAAGATGTCACACGTGAAGGCGCACCTGGCCATTCACCTGCTGCTGGAGGCAGAACTGCAGGCCGTTCTGAACGCGTCCTCGGCCCAGTGTGGATTCTGGGCAACCCACATCCTGCTGAAAACCTCAGTTCAGTCCCAGCAATAACAATGGCTACTCTATTTCGCTTAGAAATACCGAGGCATCGCCTTTAATGATCACCTTGTAGAATAAGCTTTCTCTATGAGGAGGGTCGCATAGTGCGCAATCCGTCCGCTCGCCAGTGTTAAACTGAGGCAGTATAATCGCATTTCTCAGTGTGTCCAACCAAATGGGATTTCCTCTTTCACATTAACTCTTTGCTGTCCGGTCCGGTTCAAATCCTTGCCAGAGTGATTATACGCATTTGGTTCTTCCAACAGCTGGAATAGTAAAGAAACATCCTGGGCGTAGCCTACTATTATGGTGGGGGAAGTACTACAGGACGTCAAAACAGCATTGGGAAGGTCTGAAAATATATTCACTGTATACAATTATGCGTTTTCAAACAATTAGACGTGAAAGTTTAATTGCAAGGTAAACAGAAATCGTGAACCAGAGCAACGTAGCCTACGCACTTTCCGATTATCAATACGAACAAAACATAAGAACCCTAATGTAATTATTTAAGACTTAATTTATCAAAAGTATATCATAAAAAGGTGTTTTGTTTAAAAGGTTTAAAGATGACTTTTTTTAAAGGTTGCGTGAGATGAATAGGCTACTTTATTTTTTTTTTTACCCATTTCAGTTGTGTACACTTAGCAAAGACAATATATAATCTAAAAAAAAGTTTTTTTATTTTTTACTTAAAATATCAGAAATGTATGCAGCTGTGAAAATGTTGCATGTCAGAAGTTGAAGTTCATAAGCCGCCATAGTACACATCAGATTCAGAGCCGCTATCTTGCTGCCCACACTGGTCATGAGGGAAGCAGGCGTAGCAGATGTTGTCCAGGTCTGTCCAGCATTGCTGACAATAGATCATTTTGCAGCCTACAGAACTGCACTCCACAGCCTGCTTCTGCCTCACAAATCCATCACACACCCAGCACCAGCGCAGCCTACAGCCCACACGCTTCAGTGGGGCCAACACAGCCGACAGCACCTGGTAGAGAAGAGGGAGAGTTCGAAGATGAGATTGGACCATAAATGTATATTTTGGGATTTATTAAATAGTCAAAAGTGTTAAATTTGCCGAGTGTTTTACTTGGCATGTAACTCTAAGGCCACTGTTGTGCATTCACTGCTACAGCTGGAGAGGTGTGGCTACTGAAGAATGGTTTGATTGTTTTTGTTTGCTTGTCAGATAGATAATCTCCCACAAAATAGCTGGCAGTTTTTAAAGGGGTCCTATTATGCTCTTTTACAAAGTCTCGAGTTTGTTTTGGGGGTGTACTAGAACAGGCTCTCATACTAGGTTGTTCAAAAAACACATTTTTCACATATTTTACATTATTACAACACCTCTCTCCCCAGTCTGGCATGAACGACTCGAATAGTTCCTGTATCAAATGAAGGGCCGCCTTCTGAAATACGAAATGTGTTGTTATTGGTTAGCTGGGCCAGTGTTGTTGTGATTGGTTAGCTGGGCCAGTGTGTGTTGTGATTGGCAGCACTCGGCGCCTGGTCGGGAAATGTCACGCCCCTTACCATAGCGAGCTTCAGTGTAAATATTGCATCAATATCAAATCAATTTGAGCTCAATTTAAACCTGGATGACTGTAACCACTCTAAGTTCGTGAGTAACGCAATATTGTAATGCATTACTTTTAAAAGTAACTTTCCTCAACACTGGTGATAACACTCGTTGCCTTGCAGCTCAACCAGATCTCGTCCCATTCGTCGATATTTGTGGTATCACAAATCCCGGAAAATATGCGTTGTAGTCCAAACGAGTCGTTCGTTGTAGTTTTTGAAAAGTGATTTCTGTTAAATAAAATATCTCCTTTTGAAGTGGACTTTGAGCTTTGAAACTTTGCAGATCTTTTTTATGCTCAAACAGCAACATTACAGACTAACTAAAGTTGAAAAAGTGAAAAAGAATAATAGCAACCCTTTAAAACAGGCAAAGTTTTTCCAAACGAATCTAACCAACTTGAACTGCATCCGAAATTGCATACTCTCTGAGTAGGCACTTCTTTTGAATAAATACTTCACAACCATTCAAAAAGTATGTTTTATTATGAATGTAATCCAGATGTAATATATTTGTTATGTGACCTACTAGCTTCAGTTTCACTGCCATTCACAAATCCTGTCCCATGGCCTCAGGGGATAGTAAAGTGTCCATTGGATGTGCACTTCAGAATCTTGGCGGAAATATTAGGTCATCCCAGTACTTTTTGCCTACTGTTTTATGAATACTCTAAATGTTTTTTTGCCTACTATATAGTGGAGAAGTATGCGATTTTGAATGCAGCCTTGGTCTCATGCTTTCTCTCAGATTTCACTAAATGAATGACCTAAATGAATTCTGTTCTACAAATTGAAAATCCTAAAGAGGTTGTAAACTGAAAATTTACAAAAAGTTCTGTTTTCTCTGTAGGGCCCTGTGCAGGTGCATCACACACACACACCTTTATAAATGTCTGTTTTTGATTTCTCAGGCGATGTTGTTGTCTTTTGATGAAGGAGATACGTTTCTGGATCTGTAGGTTGTAGAGGAAGAGGATCCGTTTCTTTTCTCTCTGGAAAAAAAAACAGATCAGATGGGTCTCGTCCATCAAAATACTGAAGATAACATTTCACATTATAGGAATATAGCACTGCAGTGATCACCTGTAGGATTACAGGAATAAAAACACCACCAGTGTTCACATCTTCATGAATGAGGTAACATTTGTGCCACTAGCTGAATCAGGCTTTACAGGGTGCCTGTAATCCTCCTCATGCCGGCACGGGCCCACGGAGTGCTGCAAATCTAATGCTATTACTTTAAAACCCTCTTATCTTATTAGTACTTTACCCGCACATACACTAGAACACATATTTCACTCATTATGTGTGAGAAAGTATCCTCCTCTTACACTATGCTGTGTTTGAGACACTTTGAACTTGCTGAATCAGGATATCAGTTACAATCATGACTAGGGATGTAACGGTATGAAAATTTTATATCACGATTATAGTGACCAAAGTTATCACGATTATCAATATTATCACGGTTTTGTTCAAATTAGATGAAAACATTCAAAAAGAACTGATACACACACTGAAAACATTTCAATAAGTTTTATATTTGAAAATCAACAAACAACAAATACAATTAGCAGCTATATGCACTTTTTTTTTTAGCAAAAACATTAAATGAACATTAACATGAAGCCCTAATAATAATAATAATAATAAATCACTTGTGTATATATATATATATATATATATATATATATAAGCAGACAGGGTGACCGTCCTCGATTAAATTGCCTTCAGGACTCTTGTAAAAGCCAAAATACGACCAGACCATTGATTTGGTCCTCTTAGATGGCTGAAAAATCTCCCGAGCGCTGTCACTGCCTTCCACCATTTCATCTCGTGCAAAAAACAACAACAACAACATTGCAAGCTGCTTCTTCGTCAGACTGATGCTGGCTGGACAGGATTTACCGCGAGTTTTCAAAATTGCGATAATCAAACACGGTTTTGATGATAATTAAATTTTAAACGGTACTAACCGTCAGGACATTTTATCGTGATTTATCGTAAATCCGGTAATCGTTACATCCCTAATCATTACCAAAAGGATAATATTGCATAAGAGATTTACTTCTACTACCCATGGACTAGTGCCACATGCTCTGCAGATCTGAGCCAAGAACCCAAAGACAAGTCATCAAAGTTTCTATTATTTTGTTAGTAACCAAAGTATCTTATTATCTTACACTACTTTAAAATACAAGTAAGCAATCTGGACCATATCTCACATAAAAAAACAAAATGAAAATGAACAGTTTATTTTAATAGGAGTAAATGGATGTAAACAAAAAATGACATCAGAGGAAGTAATTTAGCCTGTTATTGTGCTTTTTGTTTGTTTCAGTTATGCTAGGAGAGACCTTTAGCATTTGTTCAAGCCGTCCTCTGCCAAGAGTACAATGGCAAAATAACAGCCTGAGCAATAATAAATATTCTCCTGCTGGGAGAAATCTTTTGTGAAATGTACTGACTATGAAAGGTGGCAATTATTTGTTTTATTCCAAACTGCATTATGAGAAGAACGCTTTAGGAAAACACACAGCTCAGGGACCTCATCCCAGAACTGATTTAGGATACTAGGATGAAATTTCCTTTAATAAATTAAGCATTTTTGTTAGTAAATAGACAATACTATAACAAAAAAATACAGAAATACTTCAGACTGTATGAGGAACTCATCAACAGATCATTAGCTTGATAGCTGCCATGCACACATTACATTACTGCAAGTCCAACAGCTATTATTCCTGCATCTGTCTGGTTATGTAATCCAAAACGTGATCAGCAATAGAAAGCAGCAGCACATGCAGAACAGTGACTCATTTAAGCTCCTTAGCCAAAGGAAGCATAAGGAGCTTCTGATATTTATGACAGACCAATATTGTTAATGATAAATACTGCCAGGAGTACTAGATTCTGTCCCTCGATCCAAACAAACCGTCTATCCGCACAATCAGTCATTCATAAGGTGCTGGCCCCTTGGATGGATTTCACTGTAGGGTTGCTGAACAGGACAGGACTGTTTAACCAAAAGATAAGGAGTCTGTCAGTGGAAATGGTACCTTTGGGAAGTAGAAGGCGGTGATGACCCTGCGCAGACGATTGGTGTACACCTGCAGGCAGCACATGAGGCACATCAGTAAAAGGGGGATGAAGATCCACAAGTAGTTTGACTGGCTCAGTGCATGTGGCTGGGGCAAACATTCTATACACACATAAACACACACACAAGGAAGAAGGAAAATGATGCAAAGTGAAGGTGCAAGAAAGACAGGTGCAAGAAAAATACTTATTGCAATTCAGTATGTAAATATCACAATGACAGTCACTTTCGGATAGATTTTAGATGGTGAACATTCTATTAATTTAAGACTGTATTCTTAAAATTATACAAAAACAAAATAGTTTGAATCAAGTCTGTATGTGAAGACATTCAAGCTAGGACACTACAGTTCAAAACTTTGTGGTCGGCAAGATTTTTTTAATGTATCTGAAAGAAGTCTCTTATGCACACAAAGGCTGCATTTATTTTATTAAAAATACAGTAAAACAGTAATATTGTGAAATATTATTACAATTTAAA